TCCGCAGTGTTGGCATGTGAACGGCTTCTCTCCGGTGTGAATTTTCATGTGTTCATTAAGTATTCCTTTTGCAATGAAACTCTTTCCGCACTGTTGGCATGTGAACGGCTTCTCTCCGGTGTGAATTTTCATGTGTTTTTTAAGGTTTCCTTTTAGTGTGAAACATTTTCCACATTCATGGCAAGTTAAGTAACTGGGAGGTTTGGTCTTCTGAACTGAATTTGTTTCAGTCGGTGTGGATTTTTCTACAGCCAAGAAATCATGTCTCTCATATTGATCTTTCTCTTCGATTTCTTTCAGTTCTTGATTCTCTTCTTTTATTGCCATCAGGTCTAAAGTGAAAAAAAAGACAAATAGAAGTTAATGGGAGTTTAATGGCTCAAAGTAACAGAGAGCAAAACCAAGATAAAAGTATTAAAACATCAAAACTAACATTACGCAACAAACCCCGATGATTATAGACCAATCCTGAATCTGCCATTCAGCTCAAAAATATTAGAAAATAAAAGAGTCCCCTTCACTTTGCAATGGTACTTGTGAACAGTTTCAGTCAGGATTTAAACACCAACATTATTGACGTGAAGGAGATGTACAGGTAAAGCCTGTGTTATACTTTCCACGTCCGCGAGTCCGCTATGGTATGCGTGACGTAAAAACGTCATCGGAGAGTGTGGTGTCATTTCTTCAGTGTTGTCACATGAAAAGATATAATAAAATATTTACAAAAATGTGAGGGGTGTACTCACTTCTATAAATAAAAAAACAGACAAGGGATTTTGATTATCTCCCTTCAAAAGTGATACAAGGCCTTCTTTTGGCATCTAATCATGAGTACATCTTTCTTTTAGTGTCTTTTAGTCTCTTTTGACAACATAGAACACAAGATTCTTTTGAATAGCTTGAGAATTATATTATTTCTTGATAAGCATTAGCACGGCTTAGGTCAAATCTATCTGACTGTTGATACTTTGTGTAAACAAATAGATGTATTATCAATAACAATTATGGAGTGCCACAGGGCTCAGTATTAGGTCCTCTGCTTTTTTCCTAGTATATGCTGTCCCTGAGAAACATTATCATCAGAGTTCAGTATATTATGCCAATAGCCATGTTTCCACTGTCGGGCAAAAGGCCAGCGTGCTAGCGCGTGCCAGGGTCAGTTGAGATTTCACTATCACTACCGGGGCTTGATCGTGCCTACTTGGGGTTTCCTTGGGGCCAACAGCCAGGGATTTTCGGCTTGCCGAATACTTTGGTCTAAAGTGGGCTAACTGGGGCTTGAAGAGTGGTCATGAGCAAAGGCAACAAACAACCTTTTACTACAGTTTATCCGAGTTAGAAGTAGGTAGGCTTATGGAGTGCCACAGGGCTCAGTATTAGGTCCTCTGCTTTTTTCCTAGTATATGCTGTCCCTGAGAAACATTATCATCAGAGTTCAGTATATTATGCCAATAGCCATGTTTCCACTGTCGGGCAAAAGGCCAGCGTGCTAGTGCGTGCCAGGGTCAGTTGAGATTTCACTATCACTGCCGGGGCTTGATCGTGCCTACTTGAGGTTTCCTTGGGGCCAACAACCAGGGATTTTTGGCTTGCCGAATACTTTGGTCTAAAGTGGGCTAACTGGGGCTTGAAGAGTGGTCATAAGCAAAGGCAACAAACAACCTTTTACTACAGTTTATCCGAGTTAGAAGTAGGTAGGTACAGCTGCTCATTTCCCATGTTTTCGTATCAAGAAATCTGTACTTCTTGTATCCCAGATTCTAAATATAGATTGTTACCTTCCAGAGCATTGGTGAAGTGGAGAAGGACCCTGCTTTCATCAATCTAGCCTCCCCAGAAACTCTAAAGTCCACTACCGAACTTCCAGATCTCCTTGGCCTCAGTCTTCTGGTCCCCGAGTTCCCAAATCTGGTGGTTACAGAGCTAGCAGTCAAGGACCTACACACCTTAGAATGGACCACTCACCCATTCTACCCCCTTCCTGTGTCCCGATCATGGGAAGTCATCCAAAGCCCCGTCATCCTCGCTGGTTCCATCCAGCTTGCCGGCTTCTCCCTTCCATTGGTTTCACCTAGTGCCCTGGTCCTCAGCTTGGCCTAGGTGCATTGATTCCTCGGCTCCACCGCAGTCTGTTTGCCCATCGGCTCCACTGTGGTCCATCATCCTACAGGTTCAACTGGGCTCTCTTGTCGTTCTGGACCCGCCTTGATCTTCCCGGTCTTTGGCTCTGCCTGGGTCTCCACTTTGGTCAGTCGATTCCTTGGTTTCACCTGGATAAACTTTTGAGCATCCACTCTGGCTCCTTCCTCCATCAGCTCTGTCATGGGCTATTCCACCAGCTGCTCCATGGTTATCTCATCGATTGCTGGCCCCTCCATGGACTTTTATGACCAAGAGTCTCACCCTTCTTCCCTCCACTGTAAAGAGTGTACCCCCCTCCCTTCACTACAGTTTTAGTTTACCGTGCCAGGAGGTACCTACTGGGAATCAGGGTAATGCAATGTTCAAGTTCAATTTCTGTTTTCCTGTCTCCTTTTTTCACGGTTTCGAATTCATTGTCACAGTGATTTGGTTTCTTTTGTTACTAGCTAGTGCTCCCGGTGCCACCAACCACCAAAGCCTGTGGGCCCAGCTCGTCCTCCTCCTCCTGTGAGAGCTCTCCGGCCGCTGCCACAATGCCAGGGCCTCCAGGCCTCCATCTGTTGTAGGTGAACCAAAAACAACTGATAACAGCTCTCAGTGATATGTGTCGGGTCCCCGCTATGACAGCAGCAACATTCACAAATGTTTACAGAACAAGCGGGAACCCAGTGTGCCTGTAGTTTTCTCTATTTCTGTTTTATCACGTGATAGAAAGTCTAAGGCCTTCTTAAGCCGTACGGCTGACTTATCTAATCTGCGGCCTGTTATGCATCAAACTAATATTGCTGTTGAGACAAAATGCAATGCCATCAAGTTAGCATTTTTAAACATTCGCTCACTAAAAAAATAAATAATTTCTAATCAATGACTTAACCACAAACAACCTGGATTTTATTATGTTTCTAAACGAAACATAGCTAGAAGACAGCTGCAGTGCAACGGTCCTCAATGAAACAGCCCCTCCTAACTTTACTTTCATGAGTGTTTGCAGGACTGTTAGGAGAGGTGGAGGTGTAGCTGCTCTATTTAAAGATGTCTATCAATGCAAGCAAGTATCATTTGGTCAGTACTTGTCTTTTGAATATCTAGGGATTGTGTTGAAAGGTGCTCCACGCATTCTGTTTATCATTATTTACAGGCCTCCAAAATACTCTCCAGCCTTTGCTGAAGAGTTCACAGAAATGCTATCAATGATTTCCTCAGAGTTTGACTGTTTTGCTATTGCAGGGGATTTTAATATTCACATAGATAATGCAGAAAACAAAACTACAAAAGAAATTATAACTGTTTTAAACACTTTTGACCTGATTCAGCATGTGCATGAACCCACACACAATCGTGGACATACTCTAGATTTAATCATCAGTAGAGGTCTAAACATTTCATCCATTGTTATTAAGGACGTAGCACTATCTGATCACTTCTGTATTTTCTTTAATATATTGATCTCTGTTACCACTGAATCTAGATCTGTCTCTGTCAGAAAGAGATGCATTAACGAAAACACTAGTGTGCTATTTATGGAGGCTATATCTTTAACACCAAGCATTTCTGCAGACTCTGTTGATCTTCTCCTTGATTCCTTTAACTCAAAAGTTAAGAATGTTATTGATGACATTGCTCCTGTGAAAGTCAGCAAGAAGACTGGCAGACAGAAATCAGCTTGGAGAAAATCAACAGCAGTTCAGAGTATGAAAAGACAATGCAGAAAAGCAGAACGGATGTGGCGGAAGACGAAACTTGAAATCCACTATAGCATATATAAAGATAGCCTTCGTGCTTTCAATGTGGAACTAGGCAAAGCTAGACAGTCATTCTTCTCAAACCTTATAAACAGTAACTTAAACAACACTCGCACTCTTTTTGCTACTGTTGAGAGACTGACAAACCCCCCAAGTCAGATTGCCAGTGAAATGCTCTCCGACAGCAAATGCAATGAGTTTGCTTCCTTCTTTTCTGAGAAGATCAATAATATCAGGAAGGCGATTAGCACATCCCCAAGTTATGCAGAGGTTAGACAGATTCGACCACAATATCAAAAAGAAGATACTATGTCTGCTTTTGAAGAAATTGATAGCAAAATTTTGGAAGAAATAGTACAGCACCTTAAATCGTCAACCTGCTATCTTGACACACTTCCCACATATTTTTTCAAAAGGGTGCTTAACTGTTTGGAAGCAGATCTCTTTCTAGGTATTGTGCTGAAATGTGCTCCACGCATTCTGTTTATCATTATTTACAGGCCTCCAAAATACTCTCCAGCCTTTGTTGAAGAGTTCACAGAACTGTTATCAATGATTTCCTCAGAGTTTGACTGTTTTGCCATTGCAGGAGATTTTAATATTCACATAGATAATGCAGAAATCAAAACTTCAAAAATATTATTATTAATTATTATATAATAATATTATTATAACTATTTTTAACACTTTTGACCTTATTCAGCATGTGCATGAA